GGCGTTTTGAAAACGCCGCCCGCACTTATAAGCTGCCCCAAACGGACCCTAAATTAGATTGAGCTCATATTAATTAGATTTAAGATTTTTAATCCATAGTTATGTGTTTAATTTAACATAATATCAATTTAATATTTATAGGAAAACTTTTAACCATTTTATTGAGAAATAAAGGTGATTAAACATATTGTTCGTATTGCTCGGATAAATATCACCGGAATGATTCACTGATTCGCGGGTTGAACCAACGATTCACACTGATTTTCATTGGTTTGATGTAGAAATGATTTTGGTGGTTAAACAAACTTATTGTATGCTCAGTTCCTGATTGAATCGGACGAACTGGCCGGTCTAGTTTTTAAATTTTGTTAATAACATAATTAAGAAATATATTTTAAGATTATCATATGGTAATATGCATAATTGAAAACTTAGTATTAATTTTAATGAACAAAATTATATTGTCAATTTGATCTTCATCCATTATTTTCTTAGAATCACATTGTAGGGCTTGCACTTGGATTGCAATGGTTATTATTATAAAATTTATAATTTATAATTATCTTTATAATTATCTTGAGGATATTATTATAAAATTTAAATTTGATTGATTCAATTTAGATTGTCTATTTCTCAAATTATAGCTCAAATATCAAGGGATATCATGAAATCCCAACCCTTCTTTTTCACTTTTATCAAATTTATAATAATTTAATCACACATGTAAATACATAAATTTCTAAAAGTTTTCATATGTAAATAACAATATTTGATTTGTAAACATATTTCTCTAAGATGATATATAGATTAAATATTTAAATAATTTCAATATAATGGACAACACAAAATTAAATTTCCAACGAGATGGGTAGAGCTGTCAAAACGGCTCGTTGTTTGCGAACAGCTCGTGTTCGGCTCGTTCGTTAAGTTAACGAACCGAACACAAACAACAAAAACAAATATTTGTTCGCTCGTTTTAGCTCGAAATACTAATAATTAATTATATATATATATATTTCTTTGACGAACAATATTTTTTAAAATTTAATTGAATACAAGGTTATAAATATTTATAATCAATTAAAAATATTAAGGAAGAAAATATAATAAAAATTATTAAATTAGATTCAAATGACGTTTTAAATCTTATCTAAATCCTTAACATCTTATGACTACGTGATTAGGGTTGTCAAAATGACTCTTTGTTCGTGAAAGGCTCGTGTTCGGCTTGCTAAGCAAACGAGCCGAACACAAACACACTTTTGGAGCTCGAAAAATAAACAAATCAAACACGAGTTATGTTTGGGCTCGCCCATGTTCGACTCCTTTACACCAGTCTAAGGGGACTACTTTCTTTCTTACCTTTGAAGTAAGCTAAAACTGAATTAAGAAAAAATTGACCTTAAAAGGAATATCACTTATCATTAATTCAGAAAACGGAATTCGCTACCTCCTTCCCCTTCCTCCCCGATCGTCTCCCGATCTTGATCTCACCGTCATCGCCGATCTACATGGAGGCCGCTGCCGGCGGAGGAGGAACGCTGTCGGAACTCTATCAGAATGCGCGGCGGCTTCTACTTCGGACGAGGGATGCTTTAGTAAAGCTTGAGAGGCTAGACTCTTCTTCGTTCTCCTCCTCTTCCTCCTATACCTCACAGTTGTCGTCTTCCGCAACGTCGGCTGGTGTTGGGCTGGACCCTGCCGAGTTGTCCCTTTCGATCAGGAGGGATGTCACCCAAGTCCAGTCCCTCTGCGCCGAGATGGACCGTCTTTCGCGCTCTATCGGAGCCAAGGGCCAACGCGAGCTCTGGAAAAGGTAATGCGGCGCCGCGATCTCGCCTTTGTGGTGTGTTATTGAAGTTTACCTTCTTGTTTTTGGTTGATGGTTGTGTTTGCCTATCTCGAGAGATAATTTTAAGCGTAAAGAAAGGTTGATGTCTAGGTGAGCGTCCGAGGACTCTGTCATTTTAAACCGTCTGCAGAAAGATGTCACACGCTCAGTCCCAATATTTGAGTCTAAGCCCTGTCATAATTTTCTCATTGAAGAAGTGCGGCGAGATGATCAGATATTGAGAATGCAAGATGATCAGTTTTGTATTAGGTTAATGAATTTAGTTAATATTTTGGAATTAGTATTAATGATGTTGTTAATCATTGTACATCTACAAATAAGCCTCCAATTGATACGATCTCGGTTCTTGAGTTCCCTCAACCAAAGCACCAATTTATAAGATCTTGTTTCTTGGAACTTGACACTTGGCAATTCGAGGATGATGGCAACTGCAAAATTTTGGTGGGGTAGAAATAGAGAAGAGAAACTCCTACTTAGAAGCAATGATGACAACGGCTATAGAAAATAGGAGGGGTAAGAATATGAAACAATAAACATAGAAATAAAGAGAGAAACTTATGGCATCTTTATCTATTTATCCTATGTATTTAATTGGAGGCTTATTTATAGATGTATAATGATTAAAAACTTTATTAAACTAATTCCTAACTATTCACTACATTTATTAGTCTAATACAAAACTAATTGTCTCACATTCTCAATATCTTATTAAGAGAGCTTGAGAGCATTGCTAATTGTTGCATTTTGTTCGATTTGATTTTGGTGAAAATATTAAGACACTTTTTGAAGTGATGATTGGAATTTTATCTGAAACTCCAAAGTTAAGCGTGCTTTTATGGGAGCACTTTCGGATGGGTGACATTATAGGAAGTTACACCAATAGGATTAAATTGTGCAACCATTAGGCCAAAGCAAACAATATCTAGATTGGGAAGAGTTTGGGCTATTAAAATGGTATCGAAGCGTTGCACTACCCTCTGATCTCGCCTTTGTGTTGTGTTATTGAAGTTTTCCTTCTTATTTTTGGTTGATTGGATTTTATATTTGCATTTCTCGAGAGATAATTTTAAGGGTATAGAAAGGTTTAGGTCTCTCCAAGCATCTGAGGACTGTCATTTTAAACTGTCTGCGGAAAAATGTCGAATGCTCAGTCCCAATATTTGAGTCTGATCCCAATAAATGAAAACGGGGGATCAATTTTATAATTTTCTTATTTCATAAGAGAAGTGTTTGTTGCGGTGAGATGCTAAGATATTGAGAATGCAAGATGATTAATTTTTTATTAGGTTAATAAACATAGTTAATAGTTAGTAATTAGTGTTAATGTTGTTAATCATTGTACATCTATAAATAAGCCTCCAATTGATACAATCTCGTTCCTTGAGTTCCCTCAACTAAAGCATCAATTGATAAGATCTCGTTTCTTGGATCTTGATAATGACAATTTGAGGATACCAACAACTGTAGAAATTGGGTGGGTTAGGAATATGGAAGAGAAACTCAAACTTAGAATGTTAAATAACAATTCAAAGATGACGACTCTAGAAAATAGGAGGGGTAAGAAGAAGAAACAAGAAACACAGAGATAAAGAGAGAAACTTATTGCATCTTTATCTATTTATCCTAATGTCTTTAATTGGAGGCTTATTTATAGATGCACAATTATTAACAACTTAATTAATACTAATTCTTAACTATTCACTATATTTATTAACCTAATACAAAATCCAATTTTCTCACATTCTCCATATCTTATTATGAGAGCTTGAGAGCATTGCTAAATGTTGCATTTTGTTCGATATGATTTTGGTGAAAATATGGTATAATAAAGAAACCGGAGATGTGGCTTTAACTTGTAAAGTGTGAAACCCCTTAAGTAGAATGAAACTGAACTCATAAAAATCAAGATGCTTTGCAGTGTAATGGTTGGAATTTTATCAGAAACTACAAAGTTAAACATGCTTTTATGGGAGCACTCTTCGAATGAGTGGCATTATGGGAAGTTACACCAATAGGACTAAGTCGTGCAACCATTAGGCCAAAACAGAAAATATCTAGATTTGTGAGAGTTTGGGCTATTACAAATGGTATAAGCGTTACACCAGCCTTTTAAGGGAACTAAGTGTCATACAAAATAAAATGATATGCCGTGGGAGACATCATTTGAACTTTTTATGGGACAAATTGCTACATAGTGACGGCCATTTCTTGAATTGGTAGGGGACACTTCTAGAATTCTATCTATCCGGTGAATGATTCTGAGTTAAGAATATTGACGGACGTGTCAGTTATATAAGTGAGGGAGATTGTGAAACCCCTTAAGTATAATGAAGCTAAACTTTTAAAAATCAAGGCACTTTTCGCTGTAATGGCTAGAATTTTATCGAAAACTCCAAAATTAAGCGCGTTGTTGTTGGAGCATTCCTGGGATGGGTGACCTTAGGGGAGGTTACACCAATGGGATCAAACTGTGAGGCTATTAGGCCAATACCGATAATATCTCAATTGATGAGAGTTTGGGTTGCTACATAAAGAATATCATTTTATGCTAAAATATAATTTCTTGAAAGAATTAAATTTCAATTCCATTAAGTGAGATGAATAACTAAGATGTGGTCAGAAATGTTGAGTAATTTGAATTCAAATCCGTTTTTACCGCTTAACACTCGTAAATATTTGATTTGTACCGCATTTTTATCCATTAAAATTTCACCATTTGCAATTGTTTGCTTTGACTTCTACTCTCTAGTTTCTTTTTTCATATTCTTTGTTTGCATTGATTGTTGTGCATTCTTTATTGTGCGTTGTTATTTCTTCATGGCATCCTTTTATGTAAAAAAGGTAGATGGGAAAGCCATAGAATGCACCTTATCTTTAAAAGGAGTTCATCATTTTTTACTCTGAAAAACGTCAAGTGGGACAGGGGCAGAGGCACCTTTCTAAGTTAAATATTTGATCTATGTTAGCATGATTGATACCATGATACTGCGGGACTTATTTATTTTTTAAGCGTGTTGTTTGAAATTTTATATCAGGGATTGGCTTTAACCCCATATCTTTTTTGCTTTATTCATGGATGTTCTTATTGGACATTTACAAGAGGATGTACTTTGGTGTAAGCTTTTCCCTGATAACATCCCTTCTTGGTTCTTATTTGACATTTACAAGAGGATGTACTTTGGTGTAAGCTTTTCCCTGATAACATCCCTTCTTGTGGATAAGACTTGAGAATGTGTTCAGGAAAAAATTGAATTATGGAGGTTGACTTTATAGTTTAAAGGCTTTCATTTGAGTATATCTAAAACTTAATACATGGAACGTAATTTTAAATGTGGTAGATCTAGTGACGAGGTTGCAACAATGGGTGATGAAGTCATTACAACGAGTGACCATTTTAGTTTAAAATATCTCGTGTCTATTGATCAAAGTGATGGTGATATAGATGGAGATGTTATTAGTAGAATTTAAGTTGGATGTTTGAAGTGGAGGAAGAGGAATGCTTCGGGCCTATTGTGCCTATTGTGTGAAAGAAAAGTACTGCTTAAACTTAAAGAAAATTTTTAATAAGATGGTGACCTACAATGCTTTATGGGGCAGAATGTTGGCTTATAAAATAGAAGCATAAAACTAAGTTAAGTGTCGACGGGATGAGAATGCTTAGGTGGATGAGTGATTTTACTCTTAGAGACAAAATGTAAAGTGAATATATCCGTGAAAGAGGTTGTGCTGCTTTATTGGCAAACAAGATTAGAGAGAGTTGTTTTAGATGGTTTAGTCACATTAAATGTCAACCATCTGATGATCCAGTTAGGAAAGTATATGTTATAGATTCGACTTATGTTAAGAAAGATAGAAGTTGACCTAAAAAGACATGGGGATATTGTATAAAAAATGATCTTAATTTATTACAATTACATGAAAATATGACACTCAATAGGATACAATGGAGAAAAAGGATTCATTTAACCGGCCCCATTTAGTGGGTAAAAGGCTTGTTGTTGTTTTCATCGTCGTCGTTGGAAATTTTAATGACAAGCTTATAAGCAAGTCGTGTTGCCTATTGTTGAATTGTCAAGATGTCAATTTTTAGGCTATTTTAATGACTTTCTCAATTTCCTGCTTTTTGACCCTCCCCCTTACTGTCTCTACCCTTGATCTCAATCTCCCCACTCCTTTTACTCCCCTATCTCACTTAATGGTTTCTCTCCAATTTTTTTCTCCCAAATCTCCCTCTCCCCTGCTCATTTCTTGTCTTATCTTTCTTTGTTGCTTGTCTAACCTCTCCTTGTCTATGGATTTTTTTTATCTTTAAGTAAATCAGGGGATAATGCGATCATATATTCTTAAGGGCATAAACAATCAGATATTTTGCATGACTTATTTTTAGACTTAAGAAGTACGAGCTTATCCTTAAAATGCCATACTTTCTTTGCTCTTCTTTAATAGCACAAAACTCACTTATCCACAGAAGAATTAATTTTAAACAATTATGACACATTTGAAGTGCTCTTTTGAATTTATGATTTCTACCATTAGTATGTACAATGGAAGTTTATAATTATCATCTAAATGACTTTATTTATGGTTTACATTTTTTCCTAATATGTTTTTGATTTACATTGGATTTGTTATCTCTTAACTCCATTTTGTTATTTTCCTGTGGACAAATTGCTTCTAAAATAATGAAAAGGGCTAATCTAATGCATGTGTATCATTACATTGTGTGGTATAGTGACAATTTTGATCTATGCGGTATAGTGACAATTTTGATCTATGCAGTATCATCCTTGCATTGTTTCAAAACAGTTGCATATACCATATGATTTTGAATGGATGGCAATTAATCTTATTTTGTCCTTTTCTTCGAGGCAAACTCTTCAAATAATGAAAAGGCTAACTTAGTGCATGTCTCTCACAACAATGTGCAGTCTGGGGAGAGTTTGACGCATGTGGTATTATCCTTGCATTGCCCTTGGAACGATTGCATATGCATGTCCATATGATTTTAAATGGATGGCAATCAAATAGTTCAAATCTCAAATTGGTAGAAATTGCATCCATTATATGAGTATATAAGATTAGTGTTAGAGGTTTATCAAAGAGAAGGGATGTTGGAAGTGTTACATGGAAACAAATTGTCAATAGGATTTGCAAAGAACAAGTTTTACACCAAATGTAGCATTTAATCTAAATGAATGTAAAATGAGGATTCATAAAGCCTACCTTAAGTACTTAGCTAATTGTTACAATACTAATTAATGGAGATGATGAACAATACTAATTAATGAAGATGATGAATATTTAGAATGACAATCATAATGTTCCCAGGGCATTATGATAAATAAGCAAAGGAGTTCCCTTCCACAGCATTAATTGATATCTTCCCAGGGTACTTTATGATGCACAATGTCTAAATTTTGAAAAGGAGTTCCCTTCCTTCTACTAAGAAAAGAAGTTCCAATAAATATAATTTATGAATGGGCTTAATCATTTCTTTAATGTGCAACTTTATTAGTCACTTGCGAAATGGCCATTTTCTCATATATCTTTTCAATTTTTTTCTTACTTTTGTTTTTCTTGTCACGTTGAGCATTTTGGCACTGCAGTTTAACATGTTTTATAAATATGTTTTTATGAAGTTAGTTGTACTTTATTTAGTGTCTTCGCCATTTAGCTTTCATCAAAGGTCCTTTTTTATTTTAAATATTTGACGTTATTTTTGAAAGATGGTGCCATATCGAGCCAACTTCATGGCTTTAAGCTTCATCTCTCAGGATTTTATAATTGTCCATGACGCCATCATTTGTTGTACTTAATTACTAAGTTCGATGATAGGATCAAATTAATGATGTTATTCTACTTTGTTGATAACATCTCACTGAGCAGTCATACATGGATTATGGTAATGGATGAGGAAAAAATAAATGATAAATGGAGAATGCATGAAGGAATTATTTTAGCATTCATAAATGGGTAACACTGATAATGCCAACTTTTATAACAAACTTTAGTCAAATGGTGTATGAAAATTTTTACTTAACTTTGTCCTACTCGGCTTTACTTTCAATCATTAATTGTAACATTATTTGCATTATTGAGCCAGAATCTTTAACCCGATAAATAAGCAAATGAAAATTAATCAGCAAAAATATAAAATGAAATCACTCCTTTTGCAGCTTCAAAAGGCCAATTTCTGAAGTCGCTTATTAAAAGGATAATTGGGTCCCTTTATAAATTCATATGTTTTAGCTCTCCTTCAAATGATTAGGAAAGAAGCTTCTTTTGAAAATTTCTCTGGTGTACTCCCTCTCAAACATTACTGCATAACTAATATAATTATTGTGAGTCCTCTTTGAAGAACTGTTCAATTTTTCATGCCAATGCAGAAAAGTAGAACATGTAGCAGAAGAGGCGAACTCGCTTAGAGAAAGTTTGGACAAGCATGCACTGAAGCAGCAAAAAAAGATTCAGGAGGCAAAGGAGAGGGCGGACTTATTAGGAAGAGCAGTGAGAAACTTTTTCCAATTTTAAATCACATTTCCTTATCAGGACTATGGCTGAGATATCTTTCATGTCAGATACAGACAAAAATATGTTAATTTTAATGAGTGTATTTGTAGAATGGCGAATCGGAACATTTCCTGAGGATTTTTGATGAAGAAGCTCAAGCAATGCAGTCAGCTCGCAATTCGCACATGATGCTAGATGAAGCATATGCCACTGGAGTAGCTGTCCTTTCAAAATATGCTGAGCAGAGAGATCGCCTAAAGGTGAGCTTTATTGCATGATTTTGTTTTATGCCAAAATTTTGATTGCAGGCTCTATTGTTACTCAAAATCACTCCAGGTTTTTGCATTTTTTCATGAAGTTGATACTGAAATTCTTGATTTCTCCATCAACATTGAGTATTTAATGTATTCTGCATATATTTATTTGAGTTTAAAGAATACGATATAAAGCAAATTTTGTAAGTTTCACAATATGCTGTGAAGAAAATTTGGCCTATTAAATTTGCATTTGAAAGTTTAAAGCAATCTAACTGTAAAAAATAATTATAAAGCAATCTGACTGTAAAAAATAATTACAAATTCCCTAAGGGTTACTTCTACCTAATGCTATACTTGAAATAAAAAAACCTTTCCTGGCCCGATTTTACAGAATTATTTTCATAACTGTTGAAATGTATAATTCTATCTAAAAAACTACTTCATATAGCTGCGCCGATGGAACTTCTCAAAAAAATATAATCTACATTAATTAGCTTTTGAATGAATTTGCAAAATGTGGCATTGCTGCTAAGATTCTGGTAGTGGGTTGCTCTGTACCCTACACAGGGTGGTGAAGTTGAGCAGCTCCAGCATGATGGTTAGTTGCTTTGTTTTGAAATGTGTTGTTGTAGCATTGGACTTGTTGGCTGCGACATACTCAATCCAGGTGCTACTTTGCTGCAACAAGCTCCACTGGAAGCTTCTCTTGGTTTGAAAGGCCCTAGAATAGTATGTTCTGATAGTAATAGGCCTTTCATGAATTTGCATTAACTGAGATTTACTTGATTGTGAGTTTGTCTATTGGAAAGAATCTTTCAAGGGTTTTCTTATGCCACAATTGGCCTAGTTGGGTGGCTGCTGTGGCAACAACAGCCCTTATGTTGCAGGAGGCCACAACAGCTCTTATGCCACAACAGCTCTTATGTTGCAGGGTTTCCTTGGCTCTCATAGGCCCCTCGGTGGGGTTACCCTTGTCATGTCTGTAGCTTATATGAGGATTATTCGCACCTTTTTGAATGATGGATTTGCAAATTAAGTATTCATGAGTTTTAGATGATAATTTAAGAAATGGTACACAATCGAAGGAAGGGGGGCAGAAAGGTGCACAATCCAAGGGAGAGATAGAAGAAGAGTTCAAAACCCTAAGAAGAGGAGGGAGGGAGCCTCGAGCAGCCAAGGAGAGGCTTTTTGTATGTAAGAGATTCTATTTCACTTTTAAGTTATTCTCATAAAATCAAAGGATACTCTTTATATAGAAAGAGGATCCTTAATATGCATCTGAAATGCCTAGGAATAAGCATGAAACATATTTTTAACATGATTAAATGATTTTAGTATGTAATAAACTTATTCACATTGACACATGGAGATTAAAAAAAGAATCATTGGGAAACAATGCTTAATTGGTATGTTATTGAATAAAGATAGGTTTTGTGATTAGCATGAGTGAGATAAATGCTATTGCATGTTACAATAAGTATAAATAGTTGTGGGCGCATTGTGCATTTGTGGATGCTTATGTAGTTGCACAAGTTTGTGGTGATTGTAGTGTTTTAAATTTTGCTTGCACATGTATGAGTGGTCTTCTTGGAGCTATGAGTAGCTCCAGAACTGTTCTTCAAGACAATTTTCTTCAAAAAGTTCACCCCCTCGGTCATGCATAGATTTCTCCTCTTCTCAAAATAGCGAGAAATTTAGTGCTCACACTCTTCTGGATTTTTCCTTAAAATAAAATATTTGTGCTTAAAATTAGAATGCTCAATAACTCTAAAAAGGCATATTCTAATTCATAAAAGTTAAGTCTTAATGATTAATTTATCTTCTTTCTATTGCCATCTTCGTGCACTATGAGAAAAAATTTGGTGATTTCCTTGAAAAAATCACACCATATCGCTTGGAGGGACTTCTTGTTACCTTTCTTGAGCAATGAACACTTCCGCTTGATGTGTTGGGGACTTTTGCACTCCTAGCATAAAATTTCTCATCCTTCCTCTTTTTTTTTGCCTTTAGGAAACCTTCTTGAAACGTATAAGCTTTTCTTTGTGCTCCATAGCCTATTAAATTGCCTAGATACAAGGTCATTTCTTGATCTATCTTGTTCTTCTTTTTTAGAAGAGATGTCATCATTAGATGGAACATTAGAGCTAGTTGTTGGAGTGAGACATTTCTTCGTCATTAAGTTTTTTCCTTCTTTCCTTATCCTCTTCTTTTTCATATTATTTGTCATGAACGAATCTGACAAACCTTCCAAGCCTATTAGCATTGGACTTGGGATCATAATCTATTAGAAGACACCTAAATACCTTTCTCTCATGTTATTCATTAGTGAAAATCTTTGCAAAGAACTAAGTTCATTAATGATGTGAGTAAATCTAGTAAACATTACCTCGATGGATTCTTTTTGGTTGCATCTCCAAGTTTATGAATAAACATGTTTATTTGGACTTATGGATCTGGTTTGTGCTCTCATAAATCACCTTGAGTTTTGTCTTTACCTCTTGAGCTAATTGGGATTTAAACGTGGTTAAAGTCATTGTATGATAAGTTCAATGAATGTATCTAAGGGCTTTAGCATTTAGTTATGCTTCCTATTTTTTTGTTAAATTAAAATTCAGCAAAAGACCCAAGCACCTACTTGCTCTCACCTACCTTTTTTTTGTACTCAGTTGCCACACTTTCCCTCATCTCACTATCAATAAATTGACATATAATTTTTCTAAAAATTGTAATTTAAGCTTTTGAAAAGTGTTTTGTGGTTTGTGGAAAGTTTTTCACCAAGCGTATGCTCAAAATGAGTAGGTTATTCCATGGATCTCTCTAGATGCTTAATCTCATAAAGAAAGTTTAGTTTTGAGACCACTTGGTCCCAATTGGAGGTGAATTGTGTGAAAACATTTTCAATAAAATGCATAAATTGAAGACTATAAATTAAAAATCTTTTCATACCCAAGAATGATTTACAGTTTTACATTAAATGCGTGAGATAAGAGAGGAGAATGTTTAGATTACGAAACCAAACTATTAGACGTGACCCAAATATTTATGATTGTTTGGCTTTTCCAAAAGCTTTTGTCTATTCCCTAAGCTCTCCACTGAACATTGGCCAAAGATTTACAAGCTACAGTACACTACTTCAGCTTAGATAGGAAATGATATCTTTTTTCTCAAGCTTAAGGCTAACCCATCAACCCTTCTAATCGGAACAAAGATAACCTTTATTTTTTCAAGTCTTATGGTCTTTTCCATCAACCTTTTCTCGAAGTCTTAAATGCAACCTACATAAGAAGTTAAACCAATTAAAAGGTAAGATGTCACTTGTAGAAGATACAGAAGAAGCAAGACTAACCCAAGTACTATAATTGGGAGCATTTTGCACAATTATATGCTCCCAAGCCAATCTACTTAGATATCTATATAAATGCAAGAAAACTTTGTTATCTAACTAATACTTTGTGAATATTGGAATAAAAAAACTCAAAATGAACCTTGCTTCCAAAATCTCGATCAACTTATAAAATGTTACTTCAAGGAGGTTTTGAAGATAGAGCTCAAGTGGCTAGATGAGAAACTTAGAACTGTTGATGCTTAAGGAGATAGAGAATGCTATCACAATTATTAGGGAGTGTAAAAGAGTTGTATGGCTAGAATTTATAGATTCTCAAGTGCAACCAAAATATGAGGAGTGGTTGGGAGGTCTTGAATCTATTCATATTATATAGCAAGCATGCATCATTCAACAAGTCACAAATCTTTGCAAATAACATAAATTGGTCATTTGAAAGGGTCCTTATTGATGCAAATCTCAAAGAATCTAGGTCTAGAAAATGTAGTCCTTGAGACATTATAATTACAATTAGTTGTTTTAGTTTCTATAGTTTTTTAGTCATCGAAATTCTTTTCTTACTTTTTTATTCTTGATGTTCTAGGTTCTATCCATTGACTCTTTTATTGGTGATTTTGGGGGATTCTTAGATTTTGTGCATTATATGCATCTAATGGATCTTCATGCGGTTTCATAACTTTTCTATTATACTTGTGATTCATTAGGCTTCTTTGGGTGATGAAATGGTTTGTTAGTCCGGCAATTATCCTTAAATGTAAAACTTCTTTATGCTTTACAATTTCAGTTTTTCACTAAGAAGTACGATTCTCTTAATATGCCTTCGATGGCTCTTCCTAGCATTTAATGCGGTTAGTTCTCAACAGCTTGCTCAAGTGGGATATGTTCTTGATATCAAACATTAATGAGTTTTAAGGGTTATTGGATTGTTTGATTAGTCAAAATGAATTTCTATGAAATTTTATAATTGTAAATATGGGTTTTGCGGTATATTCAAAGCTTCATCAATTGTTCAAAATAATATTCTATTCAGATGCATTATTCCTTTATATGGGAGTTGACTTTTTGACTAATTGAAAAACTGAATGGTTTTAAGAGAGGCTCTCTCCTTGTACAAATGTGAAGTTTTTTTTAAATTTATTTATTGATCTAAATTTCATTGTTTGATTGATTGTGTGATCGATTTTACACAACTCCAATAAACTAGGATATTCAGCAAGCACATCTATTTCAACTTATTATATGGCGTTCTTGGATTTGAAATTTTGAATTATTTCTAGGTGAAGGATAATGAATTATTTTCTGATTTTCTTAAATTTCCTTTTTGTCATCATTAAAGTGATGAATGGTTCTTAAAACTTAATAATTTGTGACCAATGAATTTTTTTTGTTGTTGTGTGATTATGTTGCCTTTTGTAATAGATTTATATTAAAAAGCCTAGATCTTAAGATGCCCACAATATTTTTCATATCAGAGCTTATGTTTACACCATAATATCATCTATACATACGGTATAATAATTTAGTTAACAAAAAAAATTATTTCATTTAAACAAAATTGATTTAACTATAATTCTAGACAATTGAACTATAACTTTCATGAAGTTGAGAGCTAATATTCCTATATTTAATGGGATTTGTATCATACGATATTTTTAAGTTT